CCCTAATTACTAGGAATGCTTGAAATCCCTTGACTTGTACTCTCTGGAAAGCAAGCGAGAAAGATACATGATAATCTAAATTTGGGAAATCCTAGAGGGAATGGTTCCAAATTCGTACACAGATTATACTTACGAAAGCAAAAGACTAGGCAGACGGTGCATCATACCCCCAATGAAAAGCAGGGGTGCCATGAGTACACTGCGAGAAAACACAAGTATCCAGGACTAAGGACTGTTCAACAACAACCCATCATACATAATGGAAATTACTAGTAAATCCTGGCTGTCTTCAAGAGGAAACTGGACAGATACTTAAAGTCATTGCCCGACCAGTTGGGCTGTGGTTCGTATATTGGATTACGTGAGGCCAGCGGTAACAGCCCGGTTAATCAGGCTCTGATCCACCGAAAGGCCTGGTCTAGAACCGGGCCACGGGGGCATTGATCCCCGGAATGACCTCCAGGTAGGTAGGTAGGATTGGAAGGAGTGGATTTAGGGTGTAAGTATAATAGTGGTGTGGGAGTTGTTGGTGTGGTGATTGTTGATGTGAGAGCGATAGGTGGAATGTGTCCACCCTTTTAATTCCTCAGAGTATCTTATATATACTCAGCTCTCCTGTTATTCTTTATCCTGATAATGACGTGAGATACAGTTCCTTTGGCTTTTCTAATTATTCCTCTGCCACTTGTTGGACCACATATACAGTTTATCTGTATTTTCTTACCGTCTGTATCATCTTCCTATGGTGATCTTTTCAGTTTCATATCATCACAAATATTGATATAAGGGGAAAATATCCGTTAACTTACATATATCAGAAATGGTACAGGTGTTAATACTGAACTCAGTGGTACACTGCTAGTTACTAGCTCCGATGTCCGTGTTGCTCTCCGTCTTTAGTTCTTCAGATATTTCTTAAGTCACTGAAACACTTCTTTTTACCCTTTCCTGTTCTGCTAGCTTGTAGATCCGTGTCTGGCGAGACACTGTGTCGATGGTTTTCCACCATACTTAAGAATGTGTAGTCGACCTCACAGATACTAAAGACGGTGCCAGATCAGCCGGGCTGTGGCTCGTACGTTGGACTACGTTCGGCCAGCAGTAACAGCCTGGTTGATCAGGCCCTGATCCACCGCAGGCCTGGTCGTGGACCGGGCCGCGGAGGCGTTGATCCCCGGAATACCCTCCAGGTAGACCTTGTTCGATCTTTAGAATTATAAAGCTTTAGCCAGTCATGAGGCAAAGTTTATCCAGGTAGTAGGTTGGTAGAGAGCAACCATCCAGGGAGGTGAGTGTGAGGTAGAAACCTGTTTTTATTTTTTATTTTGCACACTGGCAGGATTGCCGATCTTTCTGTCTCGTGAACACGTAAGGTGACAGTTAACACGTACAATTTTCTATTTACATTTAGTATACACATATCTTGACTTTCCTATGTGCATCTTAATAGCTCTTAATCTTGTAATATTGCCTTTCCGTTTAGAATGGCTGATGTGAGCCGGGCTGTGGGGAGGATATCCCAACACCACTTACAGTTAGCAGATACAGATCCATATAAGGTTGTGATGATTATTTAACGTAACCTTATTTCTTGTACGTGCTCACATCTCCAGGGAGGTGCCTTGATGCCGGTGAGGGGTGAGAGGGCTCTTGATTCAAGGAACCGGACACATCCTCTCCTTCCTTGGATCGAACTTGAATGCCCCCCATTCCTCAGGCGCTATATGATTTTATTTGTTTAGTGATTCCCCTATGATGAAAATAGAATCCATGTGCTCAGCCAGGCTGTTTGGGAAAATCTTTTGCATCTATTTACATAGAATAAATCTCAGTGACACTCCTGTAAAATGATGTACTCAGTGTTGTGGCAACAGAGATCAAGTTTCAACCTTGTTTCTGAATTTGCCACTGGCATGATTTACGATCTCTTAGCCCCTTTTTTTAAATCTGTATATCGAGCTAACCTCCACTACTTTGCCCAGATCATTTCACTTTCTGGGCACTCTGAGGCTCGAGAAATACTTCTTAACATGTCTTTAATTTTCAACAATACTCTCATGTATCTGACTTCATCCATTCTGGCATGCCATTCGCGTGTACAAGAAACAGCACTGGCCCTAGGACTGATTCTTGTGGAACTCTACTCGTTACATGGATCCATTTCGATACCTCGTCACGGACCATCACTCATTGTTTCCTGCTTGTCAGGTATGCCTTGATCCATTGTAGTGCTTATCCTGTAGTATCGCCTGCTCCTCTAGCTTTTGTACCAGTCTCTTGTGCGGTGCTGTGTCAAAAAGCCTTCTCATAGTCCAAGAAAATGCAATCTATCCATCTCTCTCTCCTTCTCTCTCTCTCTCTCTCTCTCTCCTGTCTCATTTCTGTTACCTTGTCGTAGAACTCGAGTAGGTTTGTGATAGGATTTTCCATCCCTGAAGCTTACTTTTTTTTTTTTTTTACACAGGGTTTGACAATGTTAAGGATCCCTAGCTTTATTGACACGCCATTTACAAGTTAAGGATTCCTAACTTTATTTACAAGCTAAGAGCTGTTACCTACATCATCTCATTTGAAAGCATTTTTATTGTTATGAGACATAAGTGGGCCTGGTGGTTAACGCTCTCCGCTTCACACGCATGGCGTGGGTTCGATCACAGCCCGAGTGAAACATTGACATGTTCTTTCAACTGTTGTCTATGTTCCCATCAGTAAAATGGGTATCCTGGGTGTTAGTGGACGGGGGGTGATCTGGGACACTGACCTAAGAGGCCTGGCACAGACGCCGGGGGGCGTTGCCCGGAACACATCTCCAGGTAAACCCAGTAAACATAAAGTAGGAGAACGTGAAGTTGGAGCATCCCGAGGCCGCATTTTTCAATTTATCAACTGGGCTTTATGGTCGTTTGGAAACGTTTACCCAAATTATGATTACATTCTACACCATATGCTGTACGATATGTTCGACTCGATCATCCTGGGATGGGTGGGGACAGCAACCAATAAAGTGGAACATACTCAAGGTGTGTGCGTACTTGTGCCTCATACAGAATCTTGCAAACCCCTACTGTAAAGCTGATGTGAGATACGTCGAAGTGCAGTAAGCTTCCTAGCTGCCTTGTTTGCAAGATTTACAACGTGGTTCTTCATGGTCAGTTTGGAATCAGATTTCACCCCAAAAATATCAACTTCTTCCTCAGGTTGTTATCGTTATTATGTATGAACTCATACCTTCCTAGGTACTCTACCACTCCTCAGACAATCTCCATAACTTTACATACTAGACATGTCAGTGACACTGATTTGTAATTTAATGCTGTCTGCTTGTCTCCTTTCTTAAATATTGGAATTACATTGACTGTCATTCACACTTCTAGCAGTTGCCCTGTTTCGATAGATTTATTGAAGATTGTTGCTAGTGGTGCACACATTGCCTCTGCACCCTCTCTCAGGACCCATGGAGAGTTACTGTCTAGTCCCACTGCCTTTCAAGGTATCTAGCTCACATAGCAGATCTTCACCTCCTCCTCGGTTGTATGTATTGTGTCCAACACTTGCTGGTGCACTCTAATGCCTCGGATTGTTGGAAGCCTTCTGTTTCCTCTGAGAATATCTCTAAATCTCATGCTGAGCTCTTCACAGACTTCCTGGTCATTCCTTGCGAACTCTACCTTCCTTCTTCGGCCTGATTACCTGGTCCCTGACTGTTGTCTTCCTCATGATGTGGCTATATAACAGCTTTGGGTAGGATTTGACTTTCAATGCTGTCAAATTACCGATGAGCCTAACTTCTCACCATGCATATTCATTTCTGGCTTTTCGGCTCAGCTCCAAGTTTTCCCGAGTACTTTGCCTACTACACGAGTACACTGAGAGACACCACAGCAAGCGTCCGGGGCCCAAGGCTTTTCAATTACTTCCCAGCATACATAAGGGGGATTATTAATAGACCCCTGGCTATCTTCAAGAAGGCACTGGACAGGCACATAAAGTCAGTACCTGACCAACCGGGCTGTGGTTCGTACGTTAGCTTGCGTGCGGCCAGCAGTAACAGCCTGGTTGATCAGACCCTGATCCACCATGAGGCCTGGTCTCAGAACGGGCCGCGGGGGCGTTGACCCCCGAAACCCTCTCCAGGTAAACTCCAGGTATATTTTTTTCATGCTCAAGCACATTTAGCTTTTGCCTCTCTGCACCTTCAGGTGCAGAAACAACTGGTCTTCCAGTTGTTTCTGTTGCTCCTGGATGAAAACGTCTCCTCCGCCTCCTTGCACTTTCTGGCTACATGTTCCATCACCACATTCACTTTCTCTCTCTAGTTCTCTTTCCCATTGCACGTCATACAAAAATTGTTTCATGTTGTGCAGTCCCTTCTTTAAAGTTTGACTTCTCACCTCCTTCCTTTGTGTTCGTGTTCATGTATGTGTGTACTCACCTAATTGTGATTGCAGGGGTCGATTCATAGCTCCTGGCCCCGCCTGTCCACTGGTCGCTACTAGGTCCACTCTATGTGTGTGTGTGTGTGTGTGTGTGTGTGTGTGTGTGTGTGTGTGTGTGTGTGTGTGTGTGTGTGTGTCTGCGCTCGTGGAACAAGCTTCACATGTAATGTTTACAGATGTGTTAATTTTCCTGCTTCTTTATATAGTATATCGCCCAGCGGAATGAACAGGTTAAGCTGTCTTAATTCTCCAACAGTCGTTAAATGAGTATTTGCTTGAAAGTAATTAACGGTGAAGAAGAGTTAATTTTGTTAATGATAAAAATATAGTCATCACAAAGTTAAATATTAAAGGGAGAGGAAAAAAATAAAAAATAAACACCATGGGTCCGTCATGAAGGAAACAATAATAAAACATGCCACATTTTGCCATAGGACCGGAATTCCGTTTTTGAAGACAAACAGTTGGCGACCAAGAGAACAACAAACGTAGGCGTGGCTCTTCCGCCTGGCTTCCCGTGGGTGGAGTTACCATGCTGGTGTGGCGGCCCCAACCCTCATTTTATTTCAACACACATCTAGACTGACAAGAACCTGAGTGTGTGTGATGGTGGTGTGTCGAAGCTACCTTCTCTAATACTCGTTTTTCATCCTTTTACTTACCAGTTTGACTCATTACAAGGTGAGAGCCTTCATAAGAACCACCAGTCAGACTCCTTCAAGGTGTTTTCTGTTGGAAACTTTGGCAGAACTAAGGAATGGACATGTGCGTCCACCCTTTTCTTGCTAATAACGACTGTTTACAGAGACGTGAAATTTTAAATGTCTTATGAAAAATAATGCTTATCAAGGGTTGTATGAACATTCGGCCCCAAAGAAAACATTTGACGAAAACTAACATTTACGTATTATAAAAAAAACTTTATTAACATAACATAGTTAAAAACTTGCCCAGTGTTTTGCTAAGCGTTCTCGCACACTCGTATGCAGTAATAATCTCAACGCATTTAATATTCGACCACTGAACGATCCTCTTATCAAATATTCAGGTTTAAATGAAAAAAAAAAACAGTAAATGTTTAAAATCTTGTAAATGTAGACAACACAAGCCGGTCTTACCTGAGACGAACCAGCTGATACGATGACACAGGACAAACTCCTGTTTAACACTCGCAAAAGTTGGATGTTTTGCTGAAATGACGGTGAGTGAATGGGACGTATTTCCGCTACAGCCAGTTTTGTTATCAAATTGTGATATCATTGCGATTTACAGTAGGTGTGAGGGAGGTGCATAGATGCGAGAGGTGTGTTTAAGTTTCATAGATGTATACGTGTGTGTGTGTGTTAAGTGCCAAGAGATGTGTACGTATGTGTGTGTGTGTATAGGTGTGAGGGAAGTGTGTTGATGTAAGATGTGTGTGTGAGTAAAGTTTAAGAGATGTACTCACCTAGTATGTGCAAGTGCGAGGGAGGCGTCTTGTGTGTGTGTGTGTGTGGTGTGTGTGTGTGTTAGTTACCATTTTGTTCTAGGCACATGTCAATTAGACACTAGGCCTGTTGTATATGCGTGGTTGTATGTGTGCATGTGTGTGCATATGTGTGCATGTGTGCGTGTGTGTGTGTGTGTGTGTGTGTGTGTGTACTCACCTATTTGTACTCACCTATTTGTGGTTGCAGGGGTCGAGTCCTAGCTCCTGGCCCCGCCTCTTCACCGGTTGCTACTAGGCCCTCTCTCTCCCCGCTCCATGAGCTTTATCAAACCTCGTCTTAAAACTGTGTATGATTCCTGCCTCCACTACGTCATTTTCTAGGCTATTCCACTGCCTTACAACTCTATGACTGAAGAAATACTTCCTACTATCTCTCTGACTCATTTGTGTCTTCAACTTCCAATTGTGGCCTCTTGTTTCTGTGTCCCCTCCCTGGAACATCCTGTCTTTGTCCACCTTGTCTATTCCACGCAGTATTTTATATGTCGTTATCATGTCTCCCCTGACCCTCCTGTCCTCCAGTGTCGTCAGGCCGATTTCCCTTAATCTTTCTTCATAGGACATTCCCCTTAGCTCTGGAACTAACCTTGTCGCAAACCTTTGTACTTTCTCTAGTTTCTTGACGTGCTTTATCAAGTGCGGGTTCCAAACAGGTGCTGCATACTCCAGTATGGGCCTGACATACACGGTGTACAGTGTCTTGAATGATTCCTTACTAAGGTATCGGAATGCTGTTCTCAGGTTTGCCAGGCGCCCATATACTGCAGCAGTTATCTGATTGATGTGTGCTTCCGGAGACATGCTCGGTGTTATACTCACCCCAAGATCTTTCTCTTGAGTGAGGTTTGCAGTCTTTGGCCACCTAGCCTATACTCTGTCTGTGGTCTTCTGTGCCCTTCCCCTATCTTCATGACTTTGCATTTGGCAGGATTAAATTCGAGAAGCCATTTGCTGGACCAGGTGTCCAGTCTGTCCAGGTCTCTTTGAAGTCCTGCCTGGTCCTCATCAGATTTAATTCTCCTCATTAACTTCACATCATCTGCAAACAGGGACACTTGTGAGTCTAACCCTTCCGTCATGTCGTTCACATATCCCAAAAAATAGCACTGGTCCTAGGACCGACCCCTGTGGGACCCCGCTCGTCACAGGTGCCCACTGTGATACATCATTACGTACCATGACTCGTTGTTGCCTCCCTGTCAGGTATTCTCTGATCCATTGCAGTGCCCTTCCTGTTATATGCGCCTGATGCTCTAGCTTCTGCACTAATCTCTTGTGAGGAAACTGTGTCAAAGGCCTTCTTGCAGTCCAAGAAGATGCAATCAACCCACCCTCTCTCTCTTGTCTTACTTCTGTTATTTTATCATAAAACTCCAGAAGGTTTGTGACACAGGATTTGCCTTCCGTGAATCCGTGCTGGTTGGCATTTATACTCCTGTTCCGTTCCAGGTGCTCCACCACTCTCCTCCTGATAATCTTCTCCATAATTTTGCATACTATACACGTCAATGACACAGGTCTATAGTTTAGTGCCTCTTTTCTGTCTCCTTTTTTGAAAATGGGAACTACATTTGCCGTCTTCCATACCTCAGGTAGTTGCCCAGTTTCCAGGGATGTGTTGAAGATTGTGGTAAGTGGCATGCACAACATATCTGCTCCCTCTCTAAGGACCCACGGAGAGATGTTGTCCGGTCCCATTGCCTTTGAGGTATCGATGTCCCTTAGCAGTTTCTTCACCTCCTCCTCATCTGTATGTATGTCGTCCAACACTTGTTGGTGTATTCCTTGCTGGTGTCCCCCCTCTGGTCTGTCCCCCCCAGAGTCCTTCCTGTCTCTACTGTAAATACTTCCTTAAATCTCGTGTTGAGCTCCTCACATACCTCTTGATCGTTTCTTGTGAGTTCTCCACCTTCTTTCCTCAGCCTTATCACCTGGTCCTTGACTGTTGTCTTCCTCCTAATGTGTGTGTGTGTGTGTGTGTGTGGTGTGTGTGTGTGTGTGTGTGTGTGTGTGTTTGTGTGGTGGGTGTGTGTGTGTGGGTGGGTGTGTTGGTGGGTGTTGTGTGTGGTGGTGTGTTTGTTTTGTGGTTTGGTGTGTGTGTGTGTGTGTGTGTGTGTGTGTGTGTGTGTGTGTACTCACCTAGTTGAAGTTGCAGGGGTCGAGTCCTAGCTCCTTGCCCCGCCTCTTCACTGGTCGCTACTAGGTCACTCTCCCTGAACCGTGAACTTTATCATACCTCTGCTTAAAGCTATGTATGGAAACCATACCACGGGTGGGGATAGAACCCGCGGGTTCTATCGCGGGTTCTATCCCCGCCCGAGTATGGTTTGTTTGCAATCGTGTCATTACGATTTCGTGAGGTATGTATGGATCCTGCCTCCACTACATCGCTTCCCAAACTATTCCACTTCCTGACTACTCTGTGGCTGAAGAAATACTTCCTAATATCCCTGTGATTCATCTGTGTCTTCAACTTCCAACTGTGTCCCCTTGTTGCTGTGTCCCATCTCTGAAACATCCTGTCTTTGTCCACCTTGTCAATTCCTCTCAGTATTTTGTATGTCGTCATCATGTCTCCCCTATCTCTCCTGTCCTCCAGTGTCGTCAGGTCGATTTCCCTTAACCTCACCTCGTAGGACATACCCCTTAGCTCTGGGATTAATCTTGTTGCAAACCTTTGCACTTTCTCTAGTTTCTTTACGTGCTTGGCTAGGTGTGGGTTCCAAACTGGTGCCACATACTCCAATATGGGCCTAACGTACACGGTGTACAGGGTCCTGAACGATTCCTTATTAAGATGTCGGAATGCTGTTCTGAGGTTTGCTAGGCGCCCATATGCTGCAGCAGTTATTTGGTTGATGTGCGCTTCAGGAGATGTGCCCAGTGTTATACTCATCCCAAGATCTTTTTCCTTCAGTGAGGTTTGTAGTCTATGGCCCCCTAGACTGTACTCCGTCTGCGGTCTTCTTTGCCCTTCCCCAGTCTTCATGACTGCACTTGATGGGGTTGAACTCCAGGAGCCAATTGCTGGACCAGGTCTGCAGCCTGTCCAGATCCCTATGTAGTTCTGCCTGGTCTTCGATCGAATGAATTCTTCTGTGTGCGTGCGTGTGTGTGTGTGTATGTCTGCATGTGTGACAATGTATAAGTGTACAGTTGTTCCTCTGTGAGTACATGAGAATCAGCACATTGAACATTTTCAACCATAATATATCTACAAAACAGCCGAGCCTGTTGCTAAGATGCTTCTAGAGCGGTTTCATACATAGCTACAGGAGCACTGCGGTAGGCCTACTGGTTCATTACAATAATAATAAAAATAATAATAAGCACTACCGAAAATATGATGGATTAGACGCATGTGCAATACCTAGGCATCTTTATCTGAAGACGTTTCACCAAGTGAAAAAGCCAGGTTGACGAAATGTCGTCATATATATATACCCAGGTGTTGTATATTTGTCAAATTCCTACTAACCCATGCTAGACAGGTCCTGCTAGCCCATGCTAGACAGGTCCTGCTAACCCATCCTATACAGGTCCTGCTAGCCCATGCTAGTCGGGTCCTGCTAACCCATGCTAGACAGGTCCTGCTAACCCATGCTAGACAGGTCCTGCTAACCCATGCTAGACAGGTTCTGCTAGCCCATCCTATACAGGTCCTGCTAGCCCATGCTAGACAGGTACTCCTAACCCAGGTCCTGCTCAGTTTAACTGCTCAATCAAACATTTGTCTAAGAGTTATTGACCTACCCAAGGTAACTAACGCACTTCCGACTGCCCATCACTACCTCTCTGTATATACTCATTCAGGTTTCTTTTTTGTGACTTAAAAAAGTCTATCTCGTGGACGAAACGTTGTCAGTCATGGATCTCATTACACTGCATTTGTGACTGTTTTCCATCGTTTGGGTATCCTGTACCATTTCTTTCCACGTGAGTGAGAGGTAGATTTGTGTGTATCAATGTGAGGGCCAGTAGGCCTATTGCAGTTCCTCCATTCTTGTGTGAGTTGTGTAAATGTGAGTGTGTAGTGTGAGGGAAGTGTGAATGTGAAGGGGTGAGAGCATTGTGAGTGTGAAGGTGTAAGGGAAATGTGAGCATATAAGTATAAAGTGTGAATTTGTAGGTGTGAGGGAAGTGTGTAAGGTTGAGTTTGTAGATGTGAAAAAGTGTGTAGGTGTGAGGAAGTGTGGAAGGGTAAGTGCGTGCTTGAGAAGTAGTGTGTTATTGTTTGTGGTGAGTGACCAGAGTGTTATTGTTGTGGTGAGTGACCCTAGTGTGATGAGCGTGTCTAGTGTTGATGATTGTGATGAGCGTGTCTAGTGTTATTGATTGTTGGTTAGTGAGGCTAGTGTTGGTGATTGTGGTTAGTGAATTTAGTGTTGTGGTTGTGGTGAGTGATCCACCACCACTAGTGAGCGTAGTGGTGGTGGTGGTGGTGCCCAGGAAAATCTTTTACTCTATTAAAACTTCAACATTTAGTTTCATTCTGCATGCCATCAGTGTGGAATGTATTCACTTGATCGACGTCTCACGTCAATAATCATCTTACAGAGCTGCTATAGCAAGCGGGAAAAAATATGGACATAGACATGCGAATGTAGAATCATGAAACTATCTACCTTGACGTATTAAGATCCTCGAACACAGAGTATAATCCAGAGTGTGGAGGATCCTGTAGGAGTGTGGTGGATCCCGTAGAAGTGTGGAGGATCCTGTAGGAGCCTGCAGTAGTGTAGAGGTGATGCAGGATGACCGTGGGGGTGCAACACGAGCAGCCGGGAGAGAGGAGGATGCGCAGCAAGATGCTATGTGTCTACCCAGAGAGGAAGATCACCTACTCCTTCCTCCAGTATTATGACGCTGGGTAAGTACCTCTTCAGGATTTTTTTATAACTTTACTACTTTGTAATTAACTTCAGCATAGTCAGTGTTATCTTCATATGAGGAAAGTATCCAACCAGTACTGATATAGCTTATTCTAAACTATATTAGATGAATATATACAAGTCTTACAAATATTTATCGGAATAGTCGAGTTGAGAATTGTCAGAAGAGACGAGATAAAAGAAAGGTCGAGCCATAGCCTAAGGACGTCGATCTGTTTTACAGACTGTCTAATGGTTCTCATAAGTCACGTGAGGTACTCACCAACCTGCTGTTACAGGAGCAGAACTATCACTCTCTTACAAAGTTGTTTAGTTTGCATTCGGTTTTGCTTTTGTCTCAGCTTGCAACTGTAGTGTTTTATGTCTGTGAGTCATCGCTTCTAATTCATTCACTTTTAACCCCTTTTGAAAAGAAACATTATGGACTTAGAGTGCCAATATAGCATTAACTCCAAGCCGATTAACTTATACCATCTATGATCTGACGTATGTAAATCAATAGCACACTTCAGTGCGTGAAGCTGTCTGTTTCCAAGAATGAACTCTTGGTCCCCATTCAGTCATGATTTGATGAGTGCTCATAGGGATTCAGGAAAACCGGTTAACCGGACTTGAGTCCTGGAGGTGGAAAGTGCAGTTCTTGCACTTTAAAGGAGGGGTGGGGATATTTGTAGTTTTGAACTGTAGCATCAGCGCGTCTCTGGGAAGACAGTGATGGAATGAGTGATAGTAAAAGTGTTTCTTCTTTTTCGAGTCACCCTTTCTCGATGGGAGACGGCCAGTGCTAAAAAAAAAAAAAAAAAAACTAATGTTGAACCCCCGCCCAGCCATGGCATGACCCCCACAGTTTATAGCACTCCGTCCTCTACACTATATATGAAGAAAATGTTTTAAACTATACAAGGCAGTGGTCTGTCTCCTGCTGCCAGACGTTACTTTCCCCTTTTATCTAATTTCCATACTGGCAGTGAATTATTTTAGGTTACATTCAAGTAATTCTAACAAAATCTAAAGCATCTAAAATTTTATTGATGTAGATGCATTAAACGTTGAAGTGCGTAAGAAAATGAACGGTCATAGAAGGACACGCTCACACTGGCAAATATGACTTCTTGCCTCTACTAATCAGTAACGTTACTTGGTAATGCCCCTCAAGGGAGGTTCCTTGACGCTGGTGAGGGGCTCTTGATCTAGGGAATTGGACCTGTGCTCCGGTTACCTGAATTGAGCCTGAATACCTTTCATCCTCCCCCAACCCACAATCGCTGTATAATCCTACGGGTTTAGCGCTCCCCATAATTATAATAATAATAATAATACTTGGTAATGTAAATGACTACCTAGTAAAAAATCATTTGGAGATGTGGAGGTAAGAAGCGAGGTAGAGCGTCGGTAGGTGACGTACGGGTAGTCCTTCAGTATATACTAAAACGAGTTAGTAGTTACTGTATTTTCATGTGAACTGATACTGACAGTGTCAGTATCACCGACTTATCCTCAACATCCCTTATACTTACAATTTAATGTTATACTTAGAATATAAAATTGAACTAAGATATTATATTTAAGTAGTGTTGTACTCTAAGGAATCTCTTATCAGAGCTTCCCTAGACCCTGCATGTTTGTAAAAAAAAAAAAAAACTTTAAAAGAAGGTAGGATACATTTTGATGTTTGCTAGTGTATTACTGTAGATATCCAGCACTGACAGGTCAGCGGTTACTTATCCACTGACCAGGTCATCCTTATTTGACTAGCATCACCAGATATTTTCTCTGACAAACACAACATTAACACCTCCCTAGTTTGTGTTAAACCTCGACAGTATTGGCAGAATGTTCGTCTTTTGCCAGCTCTAGGCCTTTAAAAAACTCAATATTTGTGTTAACATAAATTAACAATGCAATAATTACATTCATTTCCCTCCCCTGTGGTTATTTTGCATAAATTATCAAATATTTACAAATAAATAACCGACAATAATGAAATAGCTTAACTTAAATCATTAATATCCCGACGCTGTGTGTTCACGCTGGAGGACGACTGCGTCTTGAGGTGCTTGCTTCACTGCATGTTATAGACTCGACTTTAACATACACCATCAACACAATAGTGATAGTAGAGTTTTAACTAAATGTTGTAGCGTGATAGTAATGTCTTCTGAAGTACTAAACCACACTCTAACATACCTAACCACCTCTCATGTTACTTTCTTTCTTTCTTCACCTATGCCACTTTTATCTTGATTTATGCCACATCTGTCTTGACTTATGCCACCTTTGTTCTGGCTTGGTTTAGTATGGAAACAGGTGTTGGTGTTGGCGAGGAGAGCGGCGGGGGATATAGGGCAGGGGGGGGGGAGAGGATAAGAGGAAGAGGAGGGGCGGGACTGATCCCCCTCACTATACAAGTATGGTGCAGACTTTAGGTGAAGGAGTCACACTTTCGTTGTGGCTTGTTAATTCCCTCTCTCTCTCTCTCTCTCTCTCTCTCTCTCTCTCTCTCTCTCTCTCACATGTACATTGTTACCACAGTGTAACAGCTATTGTATGTTTACACTAAGTAACTATTATGTAGAACAGCAGGGTAGCATCACGCCGTGAGTGTTTACTGGAAGATAGGAAGGATACGGATCGTCTCAGGAAGGGTTGGACTGAGGGATAGGGGTAAAGGAAGCTTTGAGTTTCAGGTGCTTGAGCATCCAGTAGGCTTGTAGAAACGTGTTAAATAGAAGTAAATAAAAATAAGTGGCTTTTAATGGACGTTGAAGACAAACAGTGTAAAATACCGATACTATGCACAACATATAACAAAATGCGACCTTTATTTACAACGTTTAGCCCACACAGTGGGATTTACAAGTCACAACCAGATACCATGGGAAGAGAGGATGTCTGTATATATAGGAAGAGGTAAGACTTTGTTCGGATTTTTAACCCCGGAGGGTTAGCCACCTAGGATAACCCAAGAAAGGCAGTGCGTCATCGAGGACTGTCTGTCTTATTTTCATTTCGGTTCTCAGTCTTTTCCCCTCAGGTTGCGACCCACACCAGTCGACTAACACCCAGGCACCTACTTGCTTGCTTGCTAGGTGAATGGGACAACAGGTGTAAGGAAACACGTCCAATGTTCCCACCCTAGCCGGGGATCGAATAAAGGACGCTCAGCGTGTGAAGCGAGAGCGTTGACTACCAGGCTACGGGACATCATAGTGAGATCCTTAAATCCTACCTCTTATTTACTATATATTTGTTCAACCTGTAATTAGTTTACCCAAGAAGTCAACTTCAACTTTCCTTATCTATTATTCACGTCACTACGCCTCCCTACATCGACGCACATCCTCTCTACCCAGGTAGATCTGTTTGTGATTTGATTAAGGTCACTGAGTGGGAGAAGGTGAGGAAGGTATCGTGTATGAAGGGATTCAGTGAAAACGGTTTAGCCGGACTTGAGCCGTGGAGGTGGGAAAGGCAGTGCCCTGAAGGAGTGGTGAGGATGTTACGTACGATGACTGAGGTGTAAAATCAAGACGCTTCTGACAAGATTGATGGACTGAACAAATCGACTCCAGGCTGAGGGACTGATTACCTCAAACTTCTCCTCTCCTTACACCTTTCTGCTTTGTATTGGACTGATGAAGCCACTGTGTGGCGAAACGTTTCCTAAATAAAGATTCCCATATATTGCATAAGTGTCTCAATTTTCAACTTGTCGGTTTTCAAAACCATTCATAAGAACTGATTGAATGACTGATGGTGAATGAGTTTCCTAGTTTTATATGGGTAACCTCGCCTTGGTAAGGGACGATCACTGAAGGGAAAAAAAAGTTATACAATGTGCCTGTTTATGTACTGGAGTGGTATAAACCTTGGTAATTGATACCTTCAAATTGTTTAAAAAGACACGTGAGGAAACACTAGGATACACGTGAGGAAACACTAGGATATTTATTAGAAAGAGTCAAGGTCCCGAGACCTTAGAGTGATCAAGGTAAGTAAGTTTATTCAGATATACACAAATACAGTTACATAGATTATCATACATAGCAGCATATGTGTAGAGAACCTGGATAACCCAAAAAAAGTCAGACAGGACCGAAACGTTTTCTAATAAATATGTCCTAGTGTTTGCTGGGGTGTCTTTTTAAACCATATATTGGAGTGAGGGGAAAGTGACACAATATCTCCTGTACACTTACAGTGACCCCTGTGTGTTCGCACATACACGCACACACATGCACACGCACATGTGCACACACACCAGTATGCAAAAGCACGCACACATACTTCAGAACATAAAGTAAGGCAAAATAAAAATAAAAATGAAATATATCGCCATGTGTTATGTGATGGAAATATGAGAAAGATGTGGGGCCATCCACCGCAACATTATTGTTAAGTTTTAAGAGCATCTGGCAGAGAGATCTAAGAGTAATTACAGAGAACATTGTCACCGGAAGATCACGTAACTGAAAGTGTCACAAATGTACTACACTGGCAGACTACACGATAACCTTCACGTATATGAATGCAGAAAGATTAAAAAAAAACTTCTCATAACGTGCATGAGGCTTAAATAGAAATATGTAGCGATGGTATAATGCCAGAGTTTAAAAAAATATGTGGATAATTTTTTTAATTGGCTTCCAGAGGTAAATAGTGTACAAAGAAACAATGATGTCCACTGGATGATAGGAGGAGACATGAATATAATTTACAGAATAGAGATGGTTAGGTTAGGTAAGGTTCGTCAGGAAACAGGACAAATGTTTCCTGACGCGGGTCTTAGTCAGATGATGACCCGCCTTTGGAGCTTTTGGTCATCTGACCGAGGCCTTCCGCTGGCTTACCGGTCCACCCCTTTAAAAATTATGGTCATTTATAACCTTCGACAGAATAGAGATAAAAAATATTTATTAGCACTATAAACGGAGAACCAACTGATACAATTTTATACTAAGAAAACAGTGGTATAGAG